CTACAGATATTGTTGTCATGTTTTAATGGTTTTTGTTAAAGAAAACTCAACTTCTTGTTGACTTTTTTCAAAAGTTTCCTTATAAGAAAAATTTTTTAAGAAAAGTGGTGTGAACGGGAAAGAGTTTTTTGATAAATCAATAAAAATGAATCAGATAATTTTTTTTTATTAAAAAATGTTTTAATTAATATGTTTATTACATCAATTAATTTGTTTTTGTTAATTATTAATTGAAATAAATAGTTTTTTAATTGTTATATAAAAATCAATTCCAGCTTTATAAAAATATTTTTTATTTATTCTTGTTAAAATTTTAAGATTAATAATTTTAGTTAATTTTTGTAATAAAATATATTTATTTTGCATTAATATATTTACAAATAGTTAGTTTTGTTTTTATAACTGCTTAAGATCTATTTAAATATAATAGATTTTTTAAAGATTTTATTTTTTTTGTATTAATTAATAAAAAATCAAAAAATATTATTGAATAGTTTGCAATTTGTACAATTTAAATTTTTCTTTGAATAAACTAATAATTATACTTTTTTTATTAAATATTGATTCTTTTATTTTAGTTATTTTATAACAAATAAAAATTTTTTTATTATTTATAAAAACTTTTAATATAATTAATAATTTAATAATACAATTAAAATATAAGTATAATCAAAAAATTTTTTTAAATAAATTATAGTTTAATAATATAATTAACAAAATTACAAATATAAAACTTTAAAAAGTACTAAACTGGTATTAAAATAATATTGATTGATATTAAAATAAGTAATTATTTTTGAAGGTAACAAAAATGCTAGATATGATTTTTTCAGATTCAACTTTTAAACAATACATATATAATATAAATTTTAGAATCATGCCAAAAAATTTTCAATTTGTCTTCAAAAATAATTATCCAAATAATATTGATATAATATTGATCTATAGTAAATTAATATATGGATTGTGACTTATTTATATAAGTTTATAATAAATTTAAGTATCAAACTGATATTGAAGTGATATTGAAGTAGTATCATTAAGAGTCCTGGCAAATATTTTATTTTCTTATTTTACTTTTTAAACCAATAGTTTATATATATATATATTATTATTATACAAATTTTTATATTAAAAAACATAATATAATTTAAACAACTAAACAAATAATTAACCAATTACAATTAAACTTTTTTTTAAATATAAACAAATATTAACATAAAGTTATATTTTATAAAATAATATATAATAATTACCAATGTTAAAGAAATTATATTCAATTTAGAAAAACTTATTTTATAAACAAAATAAACACTCAAATTCAAAGAAATATTTTTATATTAACAAAAACTAACTTATCTGAAAAAAAAGATCAACTATTAAACTCAAGAAATGCCATATCATGTGAAGCAACTCAAGTTCATAAACCAAAGAGTTTGGAGTCACTCTCTTGATTAAAAACAATCTAACTCAACATATATACAAAAATATATTTGAAAAGATAGAATGATAACCACAAATTTACTCTTCAAATACAAATTCAAACATATAATTATAGCCATTTACATATTAGCATCAAACCATGCTGCTCACTAAGAATGCATTTCGGAATTAAACCAACTAATTAACAACCTAACAACATGTATCATAATTCTTGAAGACATCCATATATTGACATGCCTAATTCAAAAATTACAAAACATAAAAAATACACTCTAGCAAGCAACATGGTTCGATGGATATTACTTAACCGATTCATAGACACATTTAGAGAAATATATCCTTACAGCACGCAACATATATGAAGCAACTCACAAGGAATTCAAAGTAGAATCTGCCAAATCTGAATATCAACATCTTTCCTCTGGCTCTTCTACAAGCTGACATATCCGAAAACAATCCAGATTTACTTGAAACAGATCACCAAACAGCACATAGCCGAATTCGACATTGGAATACAGACCTATCAAATACAAACCACATCAAAACATGACCTAATAACAAGTACAGATGACACGACACTCCCACAGAAGACTGGAAAGCATGGGACCAAGAAATAAAGACAAATCTTTTAAGCTGGTCAACAAACATAACACAATAAAAATAAAATTGAACAAAAATGGAACTACATAAGAACAGCTCCACGGAAAATAACTCACCTAATTCCAATCCATCTTAGAAAAATATTGAGGATATAATTAAATCAGAAAAGGACACTTCACATCATACGTGTAAGATTGAAGCTGTAGGTTCGAAGAACCGTGACTTTTTAAGTCATACTACAGCCTGCTCTGTAATAAAGAAAAATCGTAAATGTAAAGTTAATTATCGAGCTCTATATTAATGCGTCTGGTCGGTAAGTTTTTAATTGACATATAAAGCGCGACAGAGATTATCTACGTAATCCGATTTTACGTATTACGTAAAACATTTTCATTACCCGTGATTGAAACATGTGTTTGAGACTCAACATCCTTTTATTTATTATATTAGTTATTATGTGTGATAGATGGCATAATAAAAGAATGTGACAATTACCAATAGACAAGCCGTTTTAACAACACTAGAGAGCAGTTAATCGTGCACGGACTAAGAAGAAACTTTATTTCGGAAAACTGGTAGAATGAACATTGTTTCGATTAAACCGATCATAAATTCATTATGGCACTAGAAATAAAGTTAAAATCGACAGAGTAACGAATATTTCAATTAACCATATTTTATACACTCTCTTCATTGACATAATGGAAATATACTGAAAGATTTTTATACGTTTCTTGGCATATATTTCTTTACAACGTAACTCATCTATTCTAACAAATTCTAGTCCTTACATGAAATAAATGACCATCTTTATGCCCCTATAAAAGTTGTGTTTTTTTCTGCTTTCTACCCTACTACAAAATCAAAAAATAAAGTGTCTTTGACACATAAAGTATCACGAAATAACTAATAAAATTTTGTAGTCATTGAAATAAAATTATCGAATTCATTACAGACTTAATTTCACTTAGCTTTATTTGAATAAGGGTATCTTCGCTTGCGATTGAATGTCTATTTGACTCCCGCTATTAATTTTCTTCAACTCTGATATGTTTTCTCAATCTGCTCGGAACTAAGAGGCTTTTCTTTGTTCTTTATATTAGGAAAGTTATTATAATACAATACGTTTTTTTAGTATTAATATATACCGAATAACATACCGTTTTTACTGCACCAATATCTCGTAAACTACGCACTCCTTTAAAAGCATCATCGTACTAGTGCAGAAAATTTTTAAGTTAGATCATAATCTTTCGGAAATAAATATTTAAAAATCGCGCGCGTCGTCAGATGGTTTCAAGGTTACCGTTACGTGTGGCCAACACATAATAGACTTTGCTTGGTATCAATGTAAACAACATTAAAGTTCGCATATGAGTACAGATTAACATCCTCCACGCGTCCAAGGATGATATCTCTTACTAATGGGCTAATAGGATGCTAAAGCTGTTATACTTACTTTCTCGGAGATGAACCAATATTTGCGCCTTAATCATTCGATTTATAATAAAAAATTAATAACTAACCTGGACAAGAATCTTGAGAAGCTTATTTTGGGTTAAGGTACTTTGAGAATATATATTTAGTGAAGAATTAATAGCATTTTGCACTATTGTTCTCGATTCTTCTTTTGAAATCCAGGGTTCAACTTTTATAACCTGGTATATGAAAGAAACGGCAGTTATATGTTCCATGGGAGAGGTAGTGAGAAAATTATAGACTTTTTCATAAATTTCGGTAGACATATTGATATAGCAGAGATTTATTACCAAAAATATGGTAACCGTTCTCCTTACCTCGCTTACGTGCTATACTGATTGTCACGATAAACATCAGGAAATTTTTGAAAATTTCTGGAGAAATCTTCGAAAATCTTCAAAGGTTTTTAAGAATTTTTAATATAGAATTTTTTAA